CTCATTGGACATAAGCCTAGGACAATTCCAAAGTTATTACCTGCTCAGCAAACCAGTAAAAGCCTGAGCTCCAACCCAGACTATCTGGGTTTGAATTCCTGCTAGACCAATTAATCCTTCTTCAGTTACTTCCTGACCACGGCAAGTTCTTTCACCTTTCTATGCCTCAGCTGCACTTACATAAAATCAGGAGAGTAAAAATACCTATTTAATTGAGTTACTATGAGGATCCAATGAATTAAAATTTGCAGAGTACTTAGAATTTTGCCTGGCACACAGTAAGCACTGAGTAAATATTTGTATTTATTGATAGCAGTATCCTTCTAATGTAATAAGAAAGGTACCCTTATTATTCCCATTTACTTATGATGGAATTGTGGCCTGAGTTAATTAAGTTGGCCAAAGTCCTTTAGCTAAACTAAGGTATAACTGTCGCCAAAACCCAGCTTCTTTATCACTCCATCTATTGCTTCATGAAAGTCAACAATGTTAAGCTTTGAACAATAAGCAATGGAAAAACACTAGAGGTTTATATGGACACTAGAGGCTCAGTGCATGAAAACTCATACACTGGAGGGGAGGGGGGTCCCCTCAGCCCAGCCTGCCCCATTTCACAGTCAAGGAGCCCTCAGGGGCGGAGGCGACCCCCATCACACCTCTGCTGCTGCCACTGCCAGCAGCACAAGCCTCAGCCGGCCCTGGTTACCTGAGCCTTGGGCGGCCCTGGGTGGCTGGGCAGCCAACATCTGAGGCTTGCTTGTGCCTCAGGCCGGCCCTGTGTGGCTGTGGGGCTAAGGGGACTGGAGGACTCTAGAGGCAGGCAAGCAGAGCAGCCGGACCCACCTGGGGGCAGGGTGAGCCCAGCCATGCCATACAGCTGCCACCCGAGCGAGGCTGAGGGGACTGGGCACCGCCACCTTGTGGCTATGGGTGCCATCGTTGAGGGTATAGCAGTCAATTAGCATATTCCTTCTTTATTAGATAGGATATAAATTTGTAAAGTTTTACTTAGAGAGGTAACTGCTAATGGAAAGGAGAACAAACTAGAATAGGGAAGAAGATGGGTTGGACTCAAGAGAGCAGAGAGAAGCCTGTGAACTGAGGATGGTGGTGCAGGAATGGAAGGGACACCAAGAGCAAAAGATACAGCATAGGAGAGACCTAAGGCCAGATGACTGGTGAAGAATGGCAAGCGGCAGAGCCACAGGGATGACTGAAACGAGGTCAGCTATGCTTGAACACGAAGGCAAAAGAGGACACATGGCAAGAATATTAGAAAGCTGGTCCTGCCTTGTCTTGTTTGGGGAGGGATGTAACCATGCAGGCCTGTTAATAAAGGATCTTCTCAGTACTATTTAGGAGTCAAAAATACTACTCATATACTGAATAGGAGAGATGAAGGGAAACTCAGGTAAATAGGCTATTAACTAGGATATATGATAATCTATTACTTTTAAAAGTTAAAAGTTTAGGGGAGGAGAAAAAAATCCAGATTCCATGATAATATCCTATATAATAAAAGCCTAGGTGGTGTCATGCCCTCACACAACATTGCCACAAGATGGCTGCACGCACAGTGGAAGTGGGGCCTGGTGACGGCTCTGCACAATGAGGCCTTAGGGCCCTGCAACTCTGCATGATGCAGAGGAGGCTGGCTCTGGCATCTTCGCCACCTCACGTGGAGGAGGTGAATCCCGAGTAGGAGGCAGGTCACGGCAAGGAAGGGTAGTTATGGGCAATCAGGCTGGCAGGGGAGCAGTTAGGGGGCAATCAGGTTGGCAGGCAGGTGAGCAGTTAGGAGCCAGCGGTCCTGGATTGTGAGAGGGATGTCCCAGATTGGAGACGGTGCAAGCCAGGTTGAGGGACACCACCTCCACCGCCGCCGCCTCCCCCACTCCCCCCCCCCACGATTTTCGTGCACCAGGCCTCTAGTTTTTCTTAAATAAACTTAAAGATAGGTTTCACACTAAAACAAAACTTCTGCTCACAAAGCCTAAAAGAACAAAGTGTGGACCATGTAAAATCAGAATTTCATATTGAAATTTTCCTAGAACAATAAAACACAAGAGCTATCTAATTTCCAAAGTACAGTGTATGTGAATAACAGAAGGATAATACACTCAGTAAATAATTTCTTCAATCATCAAGTAAGCATTAAAGTTCAATTAAATTGCCAGATTTCATCTTTAGATTTACAGACTCTTTGACTTGCTAAGAAAGGCTAGATTGGTTTTCCATTCTGGAATACAAAATAAATGTCAACTGTTTATCTGCTTATGCCCTTTCTTACATGGCCAAGCCTGAGTATTGACATGAGTTAACAATGACGACAGCCTACATCTTTGCAAGTGTGAGGTTCAAGGGAATGACAGAACCTGTAAGAAATATAGGCAAAATGGTATTTCTGAAATTATTTACTGTTTGTTATAATATGTAAGTCATTTTATATTTTCAGGACTTAGCAGGAATAATTAAGATATAAATACTGAAGCAGCATTTGGGAATCAAATAACACCAATGAACATATTAATTTTCCCCCTCATCACCTATCTTCTAAAGAAAAGCATTATCTTTTCACATGAGAAATTAACCATGTTAAAATAATGAGTTAAAATGCTACTATCTAAAGCCTAGGAGACAACAAATATATTATTAAATAAAAGCTAGCCAGAATCCTCTACTAAGTACATATGCATACCTAACATAATATTATGAAAAACTATAGTTCCTGTTGTGTAAGCCACTACAGAAAGCCCTTCTCTTACCAACCCCTTTCCTCAAATAACATCTATAATATATTTCTTAAATATTTTTTATTGATTTCAAAAAGGATGGGAGAAGGAGAGAGAGACAGATACAGCAATGATGAGAGAGGATCCTGCACACCCCACACTGGGGATCAAGTCTGCAACTTGAGCATGTACCCTGACTGGGAACCAAACCATGACCTCCTGGTTAATAGGTCAATGCTCAACCCCTGAGCCATGGCGCCTGGGCAAGTCTATAATATCAGAAGATGAGCTGTCAATTTGCACCATAAAAGGACAAAGATAAATGAAGAGATAAATACACAGGCTAAATAAACTAAGACAACTACACACAATTTCACAGAAAAAATCTAACAATTATAAACATCAAATCCTACCTAATAAGAACAATATGCAAATTAACTATCACTCTGCTCCACAAGCCACACCCACAAGCCAATCAGAGTACGTATGCAAATTAACCCCAACTAAAATGGCTGCAGCCACATAGGCTTGGGTTTCTCTGGCAATAGAAGAAGCCAAGCTTTCCATCTGCTCTAGCTGGCCTAAGCCTCCATTCCAGGCTACAAAGTTCCAATTATAGAAGGTAAACAACAAACGGCTACTGCCGTGGAGCGAGCAGGAAGCTTGACTCCGCTCCAGGATACAATGTTGTAGAAGGTAAATTGTAGAAGGTAAATATATCCCAGATACCAGGGCCTCCACTTGGGTAGACCACCACAGGCCCTTGCCCAGGCTGCCCCATGCCCCAAGGAAACCCCCACCTTGATCCTGGACACCCTTCAGGGCAAACCAACCAACCCCCCATGCACCAGGCCTCTATCCTATCTAATAAAAGAGTAATATGCAGATTGACCATCACTCCAACACACAAGATGGCTGCCCCCATGTGGCCAAAGATCCTGCCCCCATATGAACACAACATGGCCACCGGAAGATGGATAGCATAGGAGGGCAGTTGGGAGGGAACAGACCTGCAAGGGAGGGCCGTTAGGGATGACCAGGTCGGCAGAGGAGGTAAGTTGGGGGCAAATGGGCTAGCAGGGGAGCAGTTAGACATCAATCAGGCTGGCATGGGAGTGGGGGTGATCAGGCTGGCAGGCAGAAGCGGTTCGGGGCAATCAGGAAGCCAGGCAGGTGATCAACTGGGAGCCAACAGTCCCAGATTGGAGAGGGTGCAGGCTGAAGTGAAGGACAACCCTCCCACCCACCCCCATGCACAAATTTCGTGCACCAGGCCTCTAGTTTTTATAAAATGGGCTTAGAACCTAGGTACTGATTTGCATGTATGCAAACTGGTAGGAAGGTTCTTTTTCCGGCCCCAATATCTAGGATGTGCAATTCTTCAATTCCCTGATTATTTCCTATTTAAGAATTCTGGACCATAGCCTATAGGCAAATCTAGTTTAAGATCTGGACCTGGGGGAAAGGGACAGGCTCCCAAGCACTTAGTCTTCGTCACAGGAAAACCAAATAATCTCCTTGATATATAAATTACTTTGAAGTGAAGAAATACCCACAGTTATTATCTATTCTATCAAAATAGGTAACCCAGAATATGTCATATCTACAACATTCCTAATTTAGTCTGTAAGGGAATAAGCAGAATATAGAGAAATATAATCTGTGCAGAAAATAAAATCTGGTAAACATTTCTAATCAGAAAGAGATCTTCCATGTATGTATACTTTCATTTTATAAATAATTGCTAGCATATGATCATCAAAACAGACTCAGACCCATTTTCTTTTGTCAAGACAACTGAACAAAACATAAATCTAATACAATACTCTCTATATAACAAACATTCCTTATATTGTTCATTTATCCTTCATCTAATACCTAAAAACAGCAAATAAGCAGAAATAATCTGAATTATTTTCTAAGGAACAAAGTGGGACATTTTATAATAATAATATTAGATAAAACAAATTTCACTATACCATTATCATTACCTTAAAAAGACCAATATGCCCAAAGAAATGTATACCTGATATTTATATATTGCTCCCGTAACAAACAGAATGGCATAACATTAAATATAAAACTAATTTAATATGTTCGTTATTATACACTGTAACATATGCATACACCTTAAAAACAAAAATTATAAATCAAGAAACTTGTATGTATATGCTAATGCATTTTTAAAAAACAAAACAAAATAGTAATTTACATTGAAAGCCTAACCAATTAGGTATTAGCAGGTGGGGCTGCCCTCATAAGCCTCACCTGTCGAATGATACTCTTCACACAACGTAAAGGAAGGCCTTGATAGTTGGACTTGATGATCCATTTGAGGAGATGGTGGCCAAGCACTTCAAAGACCATGCAGACATCTGGGACATGGTTAAGGATCACTTGTGGACACATTTCCTGAAGTGATGCAATTACTAAATGCAGCAGCATTGTGGCACATGATGAAACGTTTCTTTCTTCATAACATGCACTAATCTTATATAATCTTATATAATTAAAGGCTAATATGCACATGGACGGAGCAGCAGGACTATTCGCTATGATGCGCACTGACCACCAGGGGGCAGACACTCAATGCAAGAGCTGCCCCTGATGGTCACTGCACTCCCACAGGGGGAGCACCACTCAGCCAGAAGGCCTGAGCCAGGCTCACGGCTGGCGAGCACAGTGGCGGTGGTGGAGCCTCTCCTGCCTTTTGGCAACGCTAAGCCATCAGTCAGACCTCCCTGAGGGCTCCTGGACTGCGAGAGGACACAGGCTGGGCTGAGGGACCACGCCACCTCAAGTGCATGAATTTCGTACACCAGGCCTTTAGTACTATCAATAATACCCAAAGTGGTCCTTTCCTATTTCTCACTGAAATAAAATGATGGAACATTTACTACTTATTAAGTGCCAAAGATTATTAATAAACACTTACAACAACCTTAGGAAATAATATACATCTCCCCACAGAAAATGAGGAGAGCAAACCTCAGTTAAAGAACTATCCCATGTTATAGTCTAAAGGTGGTGGTGTCAGGACTCAATCCCACACTTACCTGTGCTTTCCCTCATTTCAGCACACTTCTCTTTGATGATCAGCCTTAATGAAAATGAGCAAGACTAGAACCTCATGAGAAATTAACGAGGGAAAAAAGAACTCACCTGTCTTAACTGTCCTGTCTGCTTCCCTAAATTTATAAAACACTTTATAAAATAGAAATTAAATAAACTCAGTGAAGATATTTTATCTTTTCCTTCAATATTTTCCACTGTGTAACTAGATTAATTTTAATATTGTAGGCAGTTTTAAAGAATATATGATCACAATATAAAACACGGCATTAAGACCAACCTATCATAATGAAAACAGAAATTCTATCGTCGAGTAATAATTAATGTCGTTTTTAAACTCGTTTAAAATCTTGCTTGGCATTGACTTGTATTGACATAACCTTCAAACACGTGGTATATACAGAACGTGTGAAGTGCAATTAACAAATTTTGCTTGAAAAAGTTTGTGTTTGGTTTGGTTTTTGTTGCAAAACTAGGGCTAAGAAGATGGCGGATGAAGAGCATATTCGGCATGCATGCTTTACGAGTTCCAATTAGGAAGAAAAGCAAGTGAGGCTGCAAAAAACATCTGTAGTGCTCTTGGTCAAGATGCAGTTAGCGCCAGAAAATGCCAGTGTTGGTTTGAGAAATTTCGCGAGGGAAATTTTTTGTTAGATGACAAGAGTGGTCGAGGCCGTGTGTCCAATTTTGATCAAGAAGCTCTTCAAGCTCTTTTGGTGCAAAATCCTCAAATTACCCAACAAGAGCTTGCGACAACTTTAAATTGTTCACAAAAAACAATTTCCAATCAATTGCGTGCACTTGGCAAAGTCCAAAAGTTTGGAAAATGGGTTCCTCATGAGTTGACAGACAACAACCGTAATCAAAGAGTCACAATTTGCAGTTCGCTCCTCACTCGTCAAAACCGTTTGCCGGTTTTAGAGCAAATTGTTACCGGAGATGAACAATGGGTGCTGTATGTTAATTTGAAAAGGCGGCCTCAATGGTTGGACAAAAATGAGGCTCCGCAGCCCACGCCAAAACCTGACTTGCATGCGAAAAAAGTGATGTGTGTTTGGTGGAATTTTAAAGGAATTCTTCATTATGAACTTTTACCATCTACCCAAACCATTACAAGTGCAGTGTATAGTGCCCAATTGGAAAGGTTAGCCCAAGCTTTAAGAGAAAAAGAACCCGCGCTGATTAATCGGAAGGGCGTAATTCTTCACCACAATAACGCACGACCACATACTGCAAGAATCACTGCTGAAAAACTGCGCCAGTTGGAATGGGAAGTTCTCCCTCAACCTGCATATTCTCCTGATATTGCCCCTCCCGATTACCATTTGTTTCGTTCTTTGCAAAACTTTCTTCTTGGAAAAAAATTTAATAATGAAGAATGCCTCAAAAATGCATTGACCGAATTTTTTGCATCAAAATCACAAGAATTTTACAACAGAGGGATTAAAATGCTTCCTGAGCGTTGGGCACAAGTAGTAGAAAACAACGGCAACTATATTGTTGATTAAATTTTGTTGTATTGTTTAAATAAATTCGATTTTAAAAAGTATTAGAAAACGACATTAATTATTACTAGACCTAATAGTCAAACGCCAACACTCCAGAACTATGACCCATCATATAAATATATTTATGTCATTCCTACTGGAAGATTTAAAATGACTCTGAAACCATCTGCAAATACTTTATCTCTGGAGGCCTATAGATAGGTTATTAATTTAATATATTTTACAATATCTGCATCTGCCACATCATTACAATAACTACTGCTTTAAATATTAAGAAAAAAATTTCTACAGTGTTGGAGAACATGTGAGCTACAGATTTATGCGTAGATAATGTAAAACCAGTTTCCCAGGCATATTACAAAAAAAATCAAAAACTGAACTTATGAACACACAGAGCCAAAGCCCAGATCTCTACATAATGATTTCGACATCCCTGACAAATCGAAACTATGATTTCTTACCATTTAACAGTAAAAATAGTCACTAGAATGTATATGTAGTATTTTTTTAAAACTTCATTTACCTACAAATCAACTGGTTTCTCTAAAGAAACCATACTCCTGCCAGCTGTGCCAGGAACTGCCATGCATACCTGCTGCAGGAAGGGCTGCCCTGCCCGCCCATAAACCATCAGTCACGTGGAGAACAGGAGCAAGTCAGGTCCAGTTCTACCTTCCTATCTATCACAAGGGAAAACGTGCTCAGCAATGAACAGAAATGATACTGGAGGAAACAGAGAGGTGGCATTAACAGTCAAGGGTATTTGCTAGTACCTCCAATTTCGCTCTAGAGGAAATGCAGGCATACTTGCATTATTGCACTTCACAGATGTTGCACTTTTTTACAAATTGAAGGCAAGACTCTTCTTCCACCAACAAAAAGACTGTATGGTGATCTGGAAGTGAATCAGCAATATCTCTGAGGTATGCCTGTATAAAAACCTCAAAAATATACAGTATGAGGGGAGTGCTTCCCTAAGAAATGAAAACTTAGTGAGTGCATGCACAGGATGTCATTCTAGAATTTGAGCTGAGATTTAATTTTGTCCTCAGGCTTCTGGAGCTTGAGCAGAACAAATATCAAAATGTTGGATCTGTTCCAAATATGATATAAATAGAGGAGACAGCCAAAGATGGGATAGGAGAACCCTGGCTCTTAACACACCCTGGCACTCATTAGTCACAGGGTACTGAGCAAGTGCCCAAATAAAGACACAATAGTCCCTTTTATCGAAGGAGATATGTTCCGAGACATCTAGCGGATGCTTGAAACTGCATACAGTACCAAACCCTATATATCCTATGATTTCCTCTATCTATATATAAAAAGCTATCGATAATAAGCTAAGTGTGCACTGACTGGTAGCTATGACATACACTGACCACCAGGGGGCAGACGCTCAATGCAGGAGCTGCAGAGCTGCAGTGACTTGGCAGGTGATGCACCCCAAAACCAGAGAGGAGGGATTTCGATTCTTTGCGGGGCCACACGATTCGACCTTCGACCATAGGTTATGTTGTTGCTGGGGCATTGTTGGCCCCAAATCTGGTTTACTGCACACTTGCGACTGCATTCCACACTCTGTATGACAGCAACTTCGCAGAGTGCCCTGTTGCGCTCCGAGACCCCTCAGGGGATGTAGGAGAGCCAGTTTCGGCCCGATCCCCAGAGAACAGGCCAAAGGACTCCGCCTGCTGAGGGGACCCCGCTCACTCTACAGGCGCCACAACCAGCTGGGGAGGGACTTCGAGAGGTTGGCTTCAGGGCACGTACAGCCCATATCACCCAGTCCCACCCCGCCCGCCACCTTCTAATTAATTTCCTTTCAATGTGCATGAATCCATGCACCAGGTCACTATTATGTACATACACAGTATACCCATGATGCTTAACTTACATATTAGGCGAAGTAAGAGATTAACAATAACTAATGATAAAACAGAATAATTATAACAATATACTGTCGTAAATGTTATGCGAATCTGGTCTCTCCCAAAATATCTTAATGTGACACACTCAACCACCTTCTATGATGAGACAATACGATGCCAACATGATGAGATGAATCGGGGCGAATGGCTACTTTATGAGTTACTTGAACACAAGTGCTGAGATACTAACAGTTCATCTGATAGGTGAGATAACTACTAAGTGACTAAGGGGCAAGAAGTGAGAGAACCATGGACTGGCTGTCTCTTGCATAGCCCCTATAAACAGAATGAATATGCTAGACAAAGGGATGATTCAAGTCCTAGGTGATGCTATTCAGACTGGTGCACGGTTTAGAACTATGAATTACTTCTGCAATTTTCCATTTAACATTTTCACACTGCAGATAACTAAAACTGCAAAAGAAAACCTCAGATACTGGAGGAGGGGGAGTAATGGCTCTATCACCTGCCTCAGGCTAACGAAGGGTTATCTAAGAGGATCCAATATGAAAACATGGAAAGAGCATTCTGGATACTAAAGGTATTATTTCTTCTCTGCATTTGTGCTATCAGCTCTGACCTAGAAGTCTTAGATTACTCTGCTGTCAACGATCCTGAGGTCGCCCTGTACCAATGCCCTCTACCAATCTGGAAAGGATCACCTACCTTTTCACAACCCCCAATCACCTCCTCCTGAGACCCCTCAAAACTAACAAGAATGCAAAATTACCACTAGCCCAGGCAAAACTGATACATTCAAAAGAAAGGGAAGTAATAAGATGCCTTTTCTCTGTCTTCTTGCTAGACACATTTCTTTTTCAATAGGAGCTAGAATTAAAACAAAAACTTCCAAACCAACTAACCTTACAGCTGATTAAGAAACTTTTATCTTTCAAAAATCACTCATTTCCAGCAAGATAATTTCTTCTTGAGAAAGCAAATACTCTGTGTACTATTTCAATAATTTTAAAAAGTAGTTGAATGATTTGATCTTTAAGCAATTAAAGCAAGTTGATACAGACTTAAGAGGAAGAGAAAATACTTAGGAGAAAATACTCCTTATTTGTTGAAAAGTGATTCAAACAAGTCATTTTTCCATTATAAAGAAAATTTGTATCAAGTATGACATGATACCAAGAAATTATTTTTATTTTATTGGATGAGCTTTGTGGTCTTTTTAAGTCTGTATGTTTCAAATATGTAAACTGACATTTGTAGAAGTAAAAAAACATGACTTCTAGGATTTGTTTTAAAATAATTTAGCAAGAGATAAAGGGCAAATAAATAAAGCAACTATAGCCAGTTAATTCTTGAATTTGGGTGAGCAATTTATAGAAATTCACTGTAGTACACTCTCTAATTTTACCCATGTTGGAAACTTTATATTATAAATGTTCTTGAAGAAAAACAATGGAGGTTCTCTTTCCATCAAGGACTGGCCTACGTCAGATTCACCAACAAGTATAGAAAATGTATCACTCTAAGACAGGATAGTAAGCCACGACAAGTGGAATAGGGAAACCGAGGCAGGTAGTTACATGGCCATTTAGTGAATAGCAAGTCCTAACTTCCCTAACAAAGGGTACTTAAAAGTAAACAGCTTACAGTTCTCCCCACAGAGGGCACGTAGAGAGACTGGAGGTAGAAATCCAAATGGTGCCATTGGCCAACCACACTCACGGACAGAGAAAGGGATACATCTCATTCTGGCGCATCAGCAAAAAAACTGGTTAATGTATTGAGAGCCTCCTCAGACTTCCCCTGAACACCCAGCCTTTAACACACTCAAGACAAAGGACCCAGGCCCCGCTCTCCCTCCCAGGAGCAGGCTATGCCTTTCTTCCCACAGTGTGCATCTTCTCAACCCTAAAGGTCATGACACTTGCAACCAGGGAGCAGCGGCTGTCCTGGGCTAACCTCCTGCACCTGTTTCCTAGGCCCTGTTTGCTCTGACTTCCCAGCGAGCCAAAGCCGCCCCACCAGGGCTCCTTCCCTTCCTATTGTTTCCAGGGAGCCAATGCAGCCCCACCCAGGTTCTCCTGTTGCTTCTCCTATGCTAAGCCCTTCCTCGGTTCACTGTCCCCGGCTTTAATAAATGTCTTCTCAAAATCACTCACACTTGTGTTGTGGAATCTTTCCTGAAGGAAATCAAGAACCCACACACTACAGGTCGGCCGGAGGCCGGTCCCCAATCTGGTAACAAGGTGACTTTCTCCAGACTTTTCCAAAGACGATAAACTAAACTAAACCAACATATTTCCATATTTACCTGGTAGAAAGATGATACTATGCAGGATCAGGTGTGATTTTGCTATGTTGACATTAGCAGTGCATTTTTCCTTCTATTGCCTCAATGAATTCTTTGCCACTACTGAAGGATACCTAGCCCTTGTATATGGAATTTTTTAAAGTTTTAAGCAAAAAGAAATGCTGATATACGCTTCCACCAAACACTATAAAAATAAACTTCACTAGAATTATTTAAAAAGATTAATAATTCCATGCAAAATTCAAGTCAGGTTATGTAAAATAATTTATAAGATGTTACTACACCGAAAGCTCCTGCAGAGCACTCAACATATCACCTCCCAACACCCAGGGATTGTATGAGAGGCTTTATGTGGAGAATCACAAAGCGGAGCAAGCACGAGTTTAGGTGGGCTTACACATTCCAATTTTTCAAAAGCAAAAAGAAAGACGACAGTATAATTCAGCCATTAGGGAGCACAGAAGTGTCAGAAAGGATACGGATGCCATTCATGCCTGAAATCTTGAAGTCATCGATTAGCTGTACTACCATGTCTTTATTTGGGTCACTGGGATCACTTTCTCGAACCTATGGAAAGAAAAGTAAGTCAAGCACAGAAGTGTTTAAGACCAAAAATAATTTCCATTATACCAGACAAAGCGGTTTTAATATAAGTGATGTGATGAACTTATCAAATATAAAATCAATTTTAATTTAGTAAAACCCAGAAAAATCCCTTTGTAAGATTTTAAGTTATTAATTTCTCTTCTGTTATTCAAGTTTTTGCAGTACTTACACATCTGAGCAATTTTATTTCATCCAAGGCTGTCTCCGTATAATGCTGGGCACTTTTTACAACTTTCATTGCAACAAATCTTTTCCCCCTTTGGAAAATGCAAATTTAAAAAAATATTATAATTAGAAGTGATCATTATAATGAAATTTACCCAATAAATAGAAATTAAAACATGTATATTTTATTAATTTTTTACAGAGAAGTAGGAAGAGGGATAGAGAGTTAGAAACATCAATGAGAGAGAAACATCGATCAGCTGCCTCCTGCACACCTCCTACTGCAGAAGTGCCCGCAACCAAGGTACTTGCCCTTGACCGAAATCAAACCTGGGACCTTTCAGTCCATAGACCAATGCTCTATCCACTGAGTCAAATGGGTTAGGGCTAAATAGAAAGTTTTAATAAGCTTTCATTTAAAACAGTGCTTTTCAAATTGTAGATCAACAATTTCAGCAGCAGAATAATCCCTTATAATTGTATGTTTTTTCCTCATAAAATGAAGTAAACTAGAAAATGTCATCATATGTTATATAAAAAGAGTATTATCTTGTAACACTAGTTTCACTTCACATACACATACGCACAAAAAAACAACAATCCATGTGCATATTTATATTGGGTTGCAATAGTGTTTCATGCTATAGCTCAAAGCTTTAAAAAGGAATCAGAAACAACTGATTCGGAAGGCCTATATGTTAATTCATATGTAAATGGGTTGTGGGGTATCTTGGTATGGATAAATTTTTTGGGAGGGAATGATCCTACTATAATTTCAATGAATAAGCCTCAGATATAAAAGCAGAGGAAAGTTAATATTTTAAGATAACAGGAAAATGAACTTCACACGAAGGGGGAAATGTCTAGCTAGGGCAGGGCAGACCTGTGCTGAACACTTTACACTGTACGGCAGAAGCAGCTGTGCCCCTTAGCCAGCTTGTGATAAAATAAAGATGACAAATACGCCAGGAATCAAGAACACAAATGACAAAGAATACTTACTGCATATCCCAGCACAGCCAGACAGTAGAGAAGTGTCCCCATCCCAGCTTCCTAATAACATGATACCGGCCATTGAAAAGGTCTCCAATTTTCACTGGATGATAGCCACCTTTTATTTAAAAAAATAATAATAATTTCAGAAAAATAGTAACAGAATATCATCTCTTCCTTTGTCAGTTCTTGATACCATTAAAGAAAGCTGTGAATAATAAAATCAGATTAAAATATGTTTAATAGTATAACATTTTTCAAGAATGTTTCATCAAAAGGAAAGTGTCCTTTGCCTTTCTACTAAGTTAATTAGAAAGGCAACAAACCACCAAGCACTTCCTAACACTTCAGGATTTACATTTAAGGCGAGGTGTAAATAATATGCATACTAGATCCTGACATTGCCTTATAAGTTAAACAGCAATCTTGTTAGGTCAGTACAATATAACTCACGAAAAAAAACGCTGTGTATTCTGCATAAGTCTGCATATACTAACAAGGAGTCCTATATAATAAAAGCATAATATGATATGCTAATGATATGCTAAGGATGCTATGATGTGCACTGACCACCAGGGGGGCGGATGCTCCGACCAAGTAGGTTAGCTTGCTGCCGGGGTCTGGCCGATTGGGGACTAGGAGAGAGAGCTGGACAGACCCTGGAGCCCTCCCTCGGTGCCTTCCTGGCCAGCCCCAATTGGGACTGGTTGAGACAGTTTTATTGAGATGCTATTGGCCCAGTGCATGAATTTGTGTACTGGATCAATAGTATCTCAATAAAACTGAAAGAAAAAATGGCTTACTTCCTTAGAAGGTTAAACTAAAATTAAAATAGACTCTGAATTTACACTACAGTTTTAAAATCATTAAAACTAACACTAAGAATGAATAAAAGAAAATTCATTTTCAAGTATGAATTAGGGGCACTCTCCTAGGTACTTTATTCTCAAAACCAAGTTCAATGAAACTAAAATAGCCCTGGCGGGGCTCGGTTGCTTGGAGCATCATCTCATACACCAAAGATTACAGGTTCAATTTCCAGGCAGGGCGTGTGGGGAAGGCAACCAGTAGTTTTCCTCTCACATCAATGTTTTTTCTCCCTCTCTTTTTCCATTTCTCTCTCTAAAAATCAATAAAACATATCCTAAGATGAAGATTGAAAAAATAAAATAAAATGAACTAAAATATGTTGCAGGTATTCCACAGGGGAAGCAGAGGAGGGGAAAGGAAGAGAGAGGAGCAGTTCCGTTTGGGATTGAGAAAGAATTTAAGCAAAGCAGATTTCTTGAGCAAAGTGGTTCTCAGAGCCACTTAACACACAATGGGAGCCTCTGAGAGGAGAGCATGCTACCAATTCCAGACATATCTGCTAATGAAACCATTTCTTCAAAGAACTAGTAACATTTCACAGCACAAAGTACTTAGGAAATAATGATACCTACTTCATCCTTTTATTTTTACCCAGGGATATGTCTTAGAAAGAGGGAGGGAGGGGGAAGAGAGAGAAAGACACTGGCTGCCTCCCATATATGCCTAACTGGGCACTGAACCCAAACCCTGCGTATGTGTCCTGACTGGCAATTGAACCCACAACCGTTTGGTGTTAGGGATGGCACTCTAATAAGCCACATCTGCCAGTGCAGACGGTGTCATTTCTACACTGATGCAGTGGACATAATCTCCAAGACAGTAAGCAGTAGGTTTAGGGATGGATCTGACTCCTAAGTCCACGGCCTGTCTGTTCATCAGAAAGAAATACACTCCAGCCCTGGCCAAGTGGCTCAGTTGGTGAAAAGTTGTCCCATATCCCAAAAGACTGCAAATCCATTCCTGGTTGGTGCAGGAACAAGAGGCAGCCAATCAATATATCGATGTTTCCTCCTTGGGTGAGGATAAAAAAATAAAATAAAGAAATGCACTATATGTTTAACAACTGGAGGACTGTTTACCAGTCTCAGTCCAAAGGAACACCTGATAGCTTAATTAAAAGTCGTTTAATACTTAACTGCTCAGTATTGCTAACATTACACTCTAAATTTAAAAACAGTTTAATTAGACATAATGAAAAGAAACTTCTATCACTATGGTATGTTTCAGATTTGGATTCTCAAAGAGCCACAGTGTGTAGAAGTGAACAAAAATAGAAGAGCACTCTTTGCAATGAAATCACACAGATGCTCCTTTTCTCAATGGGACTCTGAAAGTTGAACAAAAGAAATTACTTAGTCCAGGAGCCCATAAAATAGCTAAGAATATTATACCTAAAAATAGGACAACTAAACAAGAGGAAAAAAAAAATTTTAAATACAAATATAAAAACAATTCAAAGTGCTAAATACTTACCCTTTTATTTTGAAAACTTGACAAATTTATTTTATAATTTTTATATTCAAACTCACATATCACAACAGAAAACAAGTCTACTCTGACCATTTTTCAATCTCTTTTCACAGAATGGTAATGAACACTCATGCTGCCAAGGCAGACCACATAAGTACTCAACACACCAGGAGTTATAGAAAAGACATTCCAACCACTCTTTAAAAATTCTCCAATTCTCTGAGATTAGCAAACAATGTATATCAGAATGACTATTAGCAGTGGACACCCCATGGCCCACAACACAAGGAATCTTGAGAACAGTCACAGACTAGACAAAGACCCCGGATCTCCTTGCTGCTGGATCAGTGGGCAGTACAGGACATGCGACAACAGTGCTGGCCCTGGACCTGCTCAGAGCATCAGGCAGAGATCCAGAAAGGGCCAAGCACTTGAAGAATACGATGACTTAGGGGTTTAGTTGATGTTTTATTAGCCATAAGTTTTCCTTTTATTCTTAAAAAATAAACATTAGGTTGCATTACAAACAAGAGAGTACAAGAATGGACTGTTAAGTAATCATTAAGTTCACTGCCTGGCTTCTTTTCTAACTCCTAGTCCTCAAGCACCCCCCAAAAAAACTGTAATGTTCTACCTATACTATTTTTATTTTTTTATTTTTTTAATTTCAGAAAGGAAGGGAGAGGGAGAAATAGAAACATCAATGATGAGAGGAATTATCTCTCATCATTGATCAGCTGTCTCCTGCATGCCCCCTACTAGGGATAAAGCCCATAACTCAGGCTTATAACCTGACTGGGAATTGAACTGGCAACCTTTTGGTACAGTACATGGGACAACACTCAAGCAACTAAGCAATACTGGGCAGGGGCTCCCAAACATTTATTGGGGGGATTCAGGAGGATAGTAACATTCTTCCTGAAAACTAAAGAGGAAGAAATATTCCATACTCATGCTATGAAGTCAGCATTACTTTTTACTCCAAAACCTGGCAAAGACATTTTAAGAAAGCTATAGACCAATTTTCCATATGATGTAGATACTTTCCATATGATGTAGACAAAATTTCATCAAATCTAATTTAAACAACATATAAAAGAAATAAAACTTCATGACCAAGTGAGGTCTATTCCAGAAATGAAAACTTTGACTTAATATTCAAAATTCAATGGATTGATTCACCATGATTACTACACTAACACTAGAAAACCATATAGAATTTCTAACTACTATGCTATACCCCTAAAACTAGTGTAATACTGGATGTTAACTGTCACTGAAAATAAAATTTTAAACCATATGATCAGCTCAATAAACAGAAACAGCATTAGTCCATAGCCTACATACACTCTCATTCAAAACTGTCAGCAAAATTGACAGAAATTGAAAAAGACTTACAGCGGGGAAGATAGGGAGATATGGGGGAGATAAGAGATCAACGGAAGGACTTATATGCATGCATATAAGCAAAACCAATTGACAAAAAACTCTGGGGAGAGGGGGAGGGCATGTATGGGCGTGGGGAGGGCAATGGAAAGATATGTACACATATAATGCCTTAATAAGAAAAAAATAAAAAATAAAAAATAAATAAATAATGAAAAAGAAAGACTTATGAAAAACCTACAGGTAACATCAGACTTACAGGTGAAAGACTGAATACACCATCTCCCCCACCCCACCCTCGCCACACACACACACACACACACACACACACACACACACAAGATCAGGAACAAGATAAGGATGTCTGCTCTCACTACTTTTATTTAACACTGAACTTAAAAGTTCTGGGCAGTATAATCAGGCAATAAATAAATAAATAAATAAACAGAATACAGACTGGAAAGGAAGAAATAAAACTATCTTTATTCACAAACAACAGGACTGTCTGCAAGGAAAAGCTGAAGAAATCTGCAAAAGAAAAACAAAACCTTCTTAAACTAATAAGTAAAGACAGGTAACAAAATATTAGCTCAAGATATAAAAACCAATTGTATTTCTATATACCTGCAATGAAGAGTGGGAAATTAAAATCTTAAAAATATATCATTTACAGTATCATATAAAATATGAAATACTTAGGGATAAATCTGACCAAAAAAAAATAAGAATAACCTGAAAACTGAAAACTTGCAAAAGCACTGCTAAAGGAAATTAAAGAAAACCTACGTAAATGAAGTTCATGGGTTAGAAATCGTCAATATTGTTCAGATACCAACTCTCCCGAAACTGACTTTTAGATTCAGTGTAATTTCAGTCAAAACTTCAACAGAGTTTGTTGTAGAAAGTGACAACTAATTTGAATACCCACATTCTATATAATAAAGAGGTATTATGCAAATTGACCCTCATGCCCTTGCACAAGGTGGCTGCCCCCACATGGTCAAAGATGGCCACCATCCTATATAATAAATAGGCAGTATGCAAATTGACCCTCATGCCCTCGCACAAGATGGCCACCCCCACATGGTCAAAGATGGCCCCACAAGATGGCCAGCAGGAGAAGGTTGTTGTGGGTGATCAGGCCAACAGGGAAAGGCAGTAGGGGGTGACCAGGCTGGCATAGGAGGGCTGTTAGGGGCGACCAGGCCTACAGAGGAGGGCAGTTGGGGGCAATTGGGCCAGCAGAGGAGAAGTTAGGCGTCAATCAGGCAGGCAGTGAAGTGGTTAGGGGGTTATCAGACTGGCAGGCAAGTGAGTGGTTGAGAGCCAGCAGTCCTGGATTGTGAAAGGGATGTCCCAGATTGGAGAGGGTGCAAGTTGGGCTGAAGGACA